GATATTTAAACCCCAGGCTACATTTGCAAGTTCGAATGACTACATTAGCCGCCCTAGTCCGAACTAGGGTGGCTAGTGTAGACATACCCTATTAGAGGCAGCAACGTGGGGGGAAGGGAGGCGGGATGCTGGTGCAGCCCCTGCCAGCAGATGGCGGAACGGCCTCTGTCTGCAGGGAGTTGGGGCCTCTGAGGACAGAGGCTCTGCTGCACTGTGCAGCAGGGGGTTCCCCAGGAATGGAGCTGGGAGCACACTGGCTGCCAGCCTCACACCTGGGGCCACTGAATGATTGTGCAACCGCTAAGATTTGGTGCGGTTACACGGTTACTGAATTATACAATATCTAGCGTCCCTAATTCCTACTGGCCCTCTCCAGAACACGTGACCCAGTGTCAGAAATGCAGCATACCCTCCCAACTGTCATACCCTCTGCCCTTCCATTACAGGACCAACCCTCATTATCTGCCGCAGTGATATGCCAGGAGGCTGTGCACCTACAGGAATGGCGGAACCAGTCTGTGCTGGGCCTGTGACCAGCACCCCACTGTTGGGGACACCTTGTAGAAGCCCAGGGATGAGCCACAGGGGAGAGCGGCACTGCCCCGATTGACATGGAGGAACTATTATACCATGAACTGTCATACTGGCAGGTGAAGCAGAGAGGGGACACTGGAAGAAGCAGCAGCCACTTTCAAAGAGATGAAAGGAACTATCCCCCCACAGTGTTCTAGGGGCCTGTGGAGGGTCTCTGCTACAAGTCCCAAGATTCCCACAGAAACTGGCTCAATTGCCAAAGGCATGAGGGAAAGGATCAGTACTCGCCTGCTTACATTACTCACAGGAATTTAATCATCCTGAGCTCACAGAGCATTGCACAAAGGGGAGGGCTCCTTGTCTTTACACCCCAGAAGGGAACCTGAGGCATGAAGGGGGATAGGACTATGTAGGCCTGTCACATAGTAGTAGTTACATAGCTATAAAATGAAGCCTTTGTTTCATGCAGTTATAGAAATTTTGTTTCATAAGCTTTATTGTATAGCTGCTTCTAGGTATTAAAGTATATTCTATACTAGGTATTATAAGTTAGTAAGAAATTGTTTAACATGTTTTTTAATTTTGTACATCTGTAAGGAATCCTGCCTGCTCCTTTGTAAGAGAAATTGCTTTAACATGAGCTGGCCTCTGTGTGAGAGAAATGTGGGAAGACTCCAGCACCAGATGGTCAGACTGGTGAACTCAAGACTTTGGTCAAATTCAGGATGGCTGAAGAGGGGCAGAATGGAGGACTCTAGCAAAAGGCAGACACCCGTAAACCAATCAACGATTAGACAACTCCAGCAGGACACTGCAAAACCCACAGGGTTGCCTACCCCCTGCTTGCTACACTTGCCAATCCCCCTCTCTCAGGGGGTAGGCAACCTGACAACCAGAGAGGGGAGGAGGGCTGGGCTGTGGTCCCTTTCTGTCGTCCCCTGCTCCGCCAGCCCGGTCCCTTTCTCCCCCAGCCCGGTAGTGCCTGTACCAGCCCAGGCCCTTTCTCTTCCCATCTCCGGTCATGCCAGTCCCGCCTCTTCTCTCCCTGCTCCAGGGCTGCACCCACCCACTCCAAGCCCCGGCCGGCCGAGGCATGCCAGCCCCAGCTCTGCCCCAGGGAGGCCGGCTCAAGGTGCCTCAGCCCCAGCTCGGCCCCTGAGGGCCAAGGAAGGCTGAGGCATCCCACTCCCAGCTCTCCACTTGGTTGCTGGAGAGGGATGGGTTGGTAGTGGGGGGGCTAGGCTTCACGGATGAAGGAGTGGGGCTGGGCTTTACCCACCCTTATCTACACCCCTAGCCTGTGGTCGCTGTGATGTTACTGTGTCCCACAGGAAACATTATAAGTAGCCCAATGTCTGTGACTCTGTAACGCTGAAATGCTGGCTGTTCCCTCTGGGCGGCGCTGTTGCCTCCGGCCGTGGTGCTCGGCTGACTTCTGCACTGCTCAGCCGGGCTGCCACCGGGGAGCAAGCGGCAGAAGCAGCCATTTGAGTGCAGTGGTCCCCATGCAGCACCCCTGTGCTACATGGGGAGCACGGGGCCCAAACAGTCGCTTGCGCCCCCATGGCTGCCCAGATGAGCTGCGCAGAAGTCAGCTGAGCACCACGGCAGGATGGGAAGGGGGGGCAGGGCAGTGACGTACATGGCCAGGGGCAGGACCTGGCCGTTTACATCACTACCCCCCCCCCCCTTTGCCTCCTGCCATGGCGCTCGGCTGACTTCTGCACTGCTCAGCCGGGCTGCCACCGGGGAGCAAGCGGCAGAAGCAGCCATTTGAGTGCAGTGGTCCCCATGCAGCACCCCTGTGCTACATGGGGAGCACGGGGCCCAAACAGTCGCTTGCGCCCCCATGGCTGCCCAGATTAAACAAATAGACTCATAGACAGACAGATGCACATCATATATATAGTAGCCCAGTGTCTGAGAGTCTGTAACGCTGAAATGCTGGCTGTTCCCTCTGGGCGGCCTGTGCTGCATGGAGAGTGCGGGGACCAAACTGCCGCTTGCGCCACTTGCTCCCCCACGGCAGCCCAGCTGAGCAGCGCAGAAGTCAGCTGAGTGCCATGGCGGGAGGCGAAGGGGTGTGGGGCGATGACGTGCCGCGTGACAGCGGCTCCAGGCCCTGTCCCCTGGCCGTGAATGTCACCGCCCCGCCCCCCTTTACCTCCCGCCGTGGCGCTCGGCTGACTTCTGTGCTACTCAGCCAAGCCGCCACATGGGAGCAAGTGGCGCAAGTGACCATTTGGACTCCGCACCCCCATGCAGCACGGGGAGTGCAGAGTCCAAATGGCCATTTGGGATCCGCGGTCCCCCGAGTGACAAGCAGAATGGGGAGGAGAAGAGAAAGAGAGAGAATGAGAGAGAGGCAGGAGATGGAGGAGAGCTGAAAGACAGAGAGGGGGAGGCAGTAGGAGGAGGAGAGGGAGAGAGAGAGAGAGAGAGAGAGAGACAGAGCGAGAGACCGGAGGCTCAGGAGAGAAGACCAACGTGGAGGAGAGACCTGAAAATCCCGTCTTATGACGGGCTAATTGGCTAGTATATATATAAGTGGGGAGAGGGAGAGGGGGACAGAGAGAACTGGGGCATGTAGCTTTGGGTTAGGCCTGTGAAGGCAACTTCAGAGTATCAGACTGTGGCCTACTGAACCTGGCTTCTTCCTTGTATCCACCCTAATGGGGGGTGTCGTGTGTATGAGTGCGCACATGTACTGATTTCTATGCAGTGTTTGCAATAAAAATGACGTATTGCCTCTTCCCCCTGAAAAAGATCCCGCGTGCTGCTTATAAGCAGAACACCTGTCCTTTTGCTTGGAAACAGAATGCAGATGTCCTGCGGCCCAGCCCTGCCACCTACCCACTGGGCCACACTGAGACAGGATAATTCGGGATGCATATGGGGGACAAAACAGCCCCCCGAGGACCTTCTGCTCCTGGGGGAGATACCAGGCTGGGCCTGGATCCATTAGGCAGTAAGCAGCAGGCCGACTCATCTGGGAGCAGGGAAGGAGCATGTGCTGGGTTGTACTGGCACAGGGAGTCCCCTCGCAGATTGACGGCTCAGGGTGTGCTCTAGCCAGCCACAGGCCACGCAACCTCCAGGGCAGGACCACGGCCACAGGCTAGCTAGGGTTGGGATGAGCTCACAGACATGTCAGGGCCCAGCAGGTGAATGGGAAGAGTCACGAGACGGTGTTCCTGTAGGGAGAGGATTGCGGGGGCTGGGAGCCTGGGTTCTGTCCCTGGCCCTGGGAGGGCCGTGGGTACTGTTGGGTCA